GAGTGCAGTGGCCGCTCCCGGCCATCGCAGCCTCGACCTGCTGGGCTCCGGCGATTCTTCCACCTCAGTCTTCCAAGGAGCCAGAACTACAGGCGCGCGCTACCATGCCCGGCTAATTTTTTTGATTTACTGTAAAGATGAGGTCTCACCAAGTTGCCCAGGCAGTTCTCGAACTCGCGGGCTCAGGCAATTCACTCATCTCAGCCTCCCAAAGTGCAGGATTACAGGCTGAGCCACCGAGCCCGGCTTGGGAGGCACTTCTTAAAAGCACACAGCCCTGATGATGCAAAAGCCCAAAGAAGGGGACCCAGGCCCCGAGGGCCACAAATGGGGCAGTCACTTCTCTCTGGGACTCATCCAAGAAGTGAGCCACCTAGAGAAATGATCTCAAGACAGACTATCCTTATCATCTTCCCCGTAAAGCAGTGAATGAGATTTTGGGGAGAATCAAGGCCCCGTTGCCCAGCTCTTCTTTTGGGATAAACAGATTGCAGAGAGAGAAACAGAAAGAAATGGCACAGTCTCATTTTATATTTAAAGAACAAAACAATAACCTCAATTACATGTGTTTGTACACATTTAGTAAAATATCTGAAAGTATACTCACCCAATTGTTGAGAGGTGAATAAGGTAGAAGCGGATAAAGGAAAATGAAAGCAACCCATGGAATAGGGTGGGATGAGAGAGGAAACTTCATTTTTCACTTTATCTGCCTTGGGATTACTTGTATTATATCAGTATATATATTTTAACCCACAAGTTGGATTTTAAAAGGGGGGTAGAGGGGGGTGGGGGGAGCAAAGCACTTATTCCCGATCCTAGTCAGTGGATCCTCAAAAAAAAACCCAAAAAGAGGAAAGTCTGAGCTAAAACTAGGGGAACAAAGAAATGAGTCTAAGCCCTTCCTTTAAGTCCATCATAGTACACGAGAAAGATCCAGACTAGACCTAGCAGGCCCCTTCTCCTGCACCCCACCATGGATGATCTCTGATGGGCACAGAGACAGGCGTTTACAGCATCCACCTGGGCTACCCACTGCCTGGGTGGGCCACCCAGCCCCCTGCCCCACACTTCCTTCTTATTCTTCAGCTTCTCTCCCTGCATTGGACCCCAGCCTGGCCCAAAGCCAAGAGCAATAGAAAGTCAGGGACCTGAGTGCCCCCCTGGGTCACAGGAGAGCTCTGGAGCCCTGAACATCATCTGTCCCCACAGAGTGGACAATGAGGGGAAGACTTTGTCAGCTGAAGCTCATAGTACAAATGAGAGACTTGGCTGTTAGTGATGCTGCTATTAAGACATAAGGTGAGGAGGAAGGGAAGATTTTGGTCCCCCTTGCCTCTTCCCCACCCAGAAATTCTTTCCACTTAAGGCATTATTCTGGGCTTGATGGGTATAACTTAAAGCTACGGCTAAATAAAGGCTCTTCATTGCTTACATGACAGTAAGCACCGACTCTAGGCCAGGACATAGCAACCAGAACTGTTCTAGGGACACTCACAGCCTTGGAAGAGTCAAATTGATACCCGGCTGCCTGGCTCAGGATCCTTTTTAGGCCTGCACTTAAGGATATTGGTCATTATGTCAGATAAGGCCTAGTGGCAAGAACCCTTATAATAAACGCCTACTTAATTTTGCTTAAAAAAAAAAAAATGAATCCACACACTAATCTGTATGACTTCTGCTATGAGAAGCAGAATCCACATGGCTGCCCGGCCAGGCATCTGGGAGACACATCCACTTCACCCTTTCGGACGACCTCAGTCTGGCTTCAGCCCAGACACTCCGAACTTTTCCCAGGCCTGAGTCTTCTTGGAAATAGCCAAGAAAGCAAACTTAAATAAATATCCCAGTCTTCCTCTGCCTGGGTCTCCAGCAGAGACTGCTGGCAGCAAATGCCTACCACTACCAGAACTGCAGATAAAGGAGCTAGAAGTCTTTTGAGATAATCCAATCTACATTTTCCTTTACAGGTGAGATCCAAGAGCAAAGAAAGCTTGAGTGACTGTCACTTGCTCAGACAGGTTTCCCTGGCTCCTCCGCCCACTCTCCTCCCTACCCAGCCTCCTGACTCCCTAGATCCCAACTCCAGGTCTATTTTTTCTCAAGTGCACTCTGCTGCCTCAAGCAACCTCAGCAGAATCTCCTCAAAGGAGAAAGCACGCAGGACTAGGCTGAGAGCCACAGAGGGGGAAGGAGCCACCTCTGTACCCCACAGCAGGGGCTAGCGAGGTCAGTGTTGGCCCATCCACTCCAGAGTTAAGCAAAAAAGTGGTAAAATATTACAGAAAAGGTCGGGCTTGGTGGCTCAGCCTATAATCCCAGCACTTTGGGAGGCTGAGGTGAGTGGATTGCCTGAGTCCGCGAGTTCAAGACCAGCCCGGGCAACTTGGCGAGACTTCGTCTCTACAATAAAATAAAAAATAGCCAGGTGTGGTAGTGCACACCTGTAGTTCTGGCTAGTTAGAAGGCTGAGGTGGAAGGATCGCTGGAGCCCAGGAGGTCGACGCTGGGGTGGCCATGAGCGTGTGTGCCACTGCACCCCAGCCTAGGCAAAGGAGTGAGACTCCAACTCAAAAAAAAAAAAAAATAAGTACAGAAAACATTGAGTGAAAAGGCATGATACAAACTGTAAAGATTGACCTATTTTAACTAATACACATACGCAAATACAGAAAATGTTGCCAAGTATTAACTACAGCTATTTCTGGGGGGCAGGAGGATAGATTATTACTTTTTCTTCCACCTGTTTAACTATGGTTCTTGACTTTTCCATTATACTTGGGGATTCTTTGAATTGTTTTTAAAAATAAGAGGTTAAAAAATAAATTTCTCTGATGCACATGGCTCAGATGACAAGATGAAGAGATAAAGTGTGTTTAAACCTTTTAAAGGTTTAAATTTATGAATTTTTTAAACCTATGGTGAAATCTTTATTTCACAAATCCAAGAATAACAGCATGGTCCCCACACTAGGCCACAGAAAGGGAGCCAGTGACCTGACCTAGGCTCTGACACAGCCTGCCATGTGGGCATGGGTCTGCCCAGGGCCTGGTCAGCACGGCCTGATGGAGCCTGCTGGGTGGCTGGGCCAGGACAGGCACCGTAGCGGTCATAAGGGAAAGTATGTGCTCATTCTCGTGGAGCTTGCTGCGACATGGAAAAAGGATGCTCACCTAGGAGATGGCTGAACACTCAGGGAGGAGATGATTTAGTTTTGCCAGTGTATGTCCCGGCCTCAGAAGAGTCTGGGGACCTAGTGATCTGGAATGTGACCTGTAGTTCCCAAAGAAGGCTTCTAAGGTGTAGGGGGGGTGGTGGTGAAGGTGGTGTGAGGTTTTGAAAAAAGGGGGCACTTACGCAGAAGATGGCAGGGAGGACATTTAGACTGAGTCCCCACATGGGCAGATGCCCAGAGATAAAAACAAAGGGACTGAGCAGGGGACAGAGAACAGAACTTGACATTCTGATACTTTAGAACAAGAGCCCTATAAAGGTGAGCATCACCTAGAAGGAGGGATCTGTTGGAGTCCAGGGAGAGTGAAGGGACTGGGGCAGTGCAGGCAGTCTCACAAGAGTCAAAAGCACCCCTCTGCTGGAGAAGGACAGGGCTCTCATCACTGAGAGCCACTGTGGGCCAGGCATAAGGCCAGAGACTTCACAGTCATTCACAGACCTCCTGCAGGGCGGCAGGGCGGGGCCCTGTGGCTCAGTGGTTAACCACACAGACTTCGGCGTCAGGCAGGCCTAGGACCAAGGCCCAGTTCCAACATTTGCTCACTCTGTGATCATGGGCGAATGATTCTACTTGTCTCAGCCTCTGCTGCCTCTTCTGTAAAATTGAGATACTCCTTCCCCCCTCTGAGGGTGGTGACAGACAGTCAGGAAAATAACACGGAGAGAGCACTTGAATAGTACGCACCCAGTAAAACAACCTTGAGGGGTAGGTTCCATAATCACAAGCAGTAACAGGAAGCTGCAGCAAGGGGAGAACTGAGAATAGAAGCTCAGACTGCCCACCCAGAATGAATGGAAAAAGAGATGTTTCTAAGAGACCAAGGCCAGCAGGGCCAGACTGATGACACTAACATATGAAAGGCTTAATGCACGGGATTAGAAAAGGGAAAGGTCAGCCAGAGAAGTAAATGCTGACAGTGCCCGCACCAGCTCTGTCTGAGAGAGAGGGGCCCAGTGCAGCTGGGAGCAGGTTGCCAGCATCTGATGCTCTTCAAAATTGCAACCACCGTCTGGCTCCTTGGCTTGCCTTCTAGGGGCACTAAGCAGCCTTCTCTACTATGGCTTTACATCTGGGTGGCCTGCAGGGAGAGAGTGCCCTGGCCCAGCTAAGGCAATATGCACTTGGCCTGGCGGTTGTACCACTCCTTAAAAATGAAACAATAGCTGGCACCTGGTTTA